CCGACACCAATTTGTGGGGGTCGCTAGCCCCCGAGATCCCTCCCTCGATAATGCTAACGGCCGGGCTAGCATCATCAATCCCCCCCCCGCTGCTAAGCGAACCGCTGCTAAGTTCCTCACCCATGGGGTGGGAGCCGTCGCCCGAGGATTCCACTCCACCGCGGGTCCGCGTAGCAGGCATGGTTAATTACGTACGCGCACACCCACACACACAGCTCTGTACGGCACTCACTCTTGCGCTTCTCTGCGCCGCGCTGGCCGCTCACGTTACAATCGCGCACCTGGGGTACGCCGATTACGCACGCCGCGAGCTTACGCACACACAGTACCACACGCGTTCCCACACGCAACCCGCGCGCTCAGCTCCGCGCAGCGCTCACTCCCGTGGCGAACCACTGTGCACACAGCGCACCCACACGCTCACACTGCACGACAAGATCACGCGAGACCACGCTTCGCTATTAATGATTTATTATATGCCACCTGCGAATTGATGTTGAATCAGTGAGTCGACGAGGCTGGCCTATTCCACTAAACCTGTACCTATTCCCTATTTATCGGCTATGATTCTAATTCCCCTTCTTACTCACTGTTAAGTGTCCACGGCGGTCCGCTGATCCTTCTGTTAACCGCGTGCCTCGGTGCGTCGCACGGACGTCCGGGTCGCTGGCTCGAGCTGCGTCTGGTCGCCTGGCGCTGGAGTAAGAGAGCGATTTCCCCTCTGCGCTCCTCTATTTATCCTCCCTACCTCCCAAAGGGGATGCTGCGCTGAACAATGGGCTCGTGCACCCCAAGCCCGCGCACCGCAGTCCCCAGGCGCTGTTGATATGCTAATCAGTGTGCTGCGTGCAAGGCGTAAATCCTAATTACTCCCTTACCCTTCCTACCAATGGGGCTTGCGCGCTCAAGCGCAATTATCCCAACCCTCCATGACTATGCGCAACAGCCCCTGTGACCCCGCTATTCATGCTGTCCCGTGCCTCCCCTGCTCGCCCCGTCGACCCGTGGGAGTGTGTGTGGGGGGAAATGCGCCTCAACCGCGGTGGCCGAATGCCCCACGCCACGACCTACCATATTAAGGCCGGCCGCAGCGCCGCGGTGCCACGTAGCACGGGGAGGTCATCCAATTCCCTGATCGCCGGAAACCGTGAGAATTAATCCCGATAAGGGTCTCTCGGATAAAAACCGGTCGATCAGGTGCCCTTCCCTTCCAGCTCTATGGGGGGGGGGGGATGCGTGCGGGTGTGTGCTTATGTGGGGCGGGTGATGGGGGGCAGTGCGGTGGGGGAAGCCGGGCGGCTCCCTGGTTCGGCAGAGCGGCCCCGTCGTTGTGGCACCACATATGTACGTCATTAAATGCCCCAGTGTTGTGTAAACAATACACCACTCGCACTCGAGATGGTGCATCTGTGTGTGTAGTTCTCTCTCTCTTCTGGAATTGTGTATTTTTTGGTACCTTTGAGGTGGCAACCCAACATGGGGCATAAGTGTCGGCGTGAGGGCTGGGAGGAAGGGTATTGAGGCATTGAAAACTCGCCTGGGTGTTGTTTCCTTGCACAGGGAGCTGTTAGTGGACACCAGTGGACTCTGTTCGTGGGTGTGGGAGGAATTGGGGCTGGGTGTGCCACTGTGGCTGTTATAACAATAGGGAGCGGTAAGTGTAGCGGTTAGCGCGCTGCGCTACGAACCGCTGGGTGGCGATTATCTGAACCGGTCATTGGCCTCCCCACGGTTGACTTGGCCTGAAATGAGTACCTGGTGCGGTGTGTAAACATTGCCATTGGGGAGCCTAAGGCAGTCGGGAGTAGTGCTGACCATCCATCCCCGAGTATACCGTGCCGGACTTCATAGGTGCTCGCTAACAGAACTTGCCTCAACAGTATGTTAAGGCTACACGGGGCATGTTTTGTTGTTTGTGATAACGCCTCACAAGCAGATGTGGACCGTCAGGGCCAGCAAGGCCTTCTCTGCTGGCCTAGAGATTGTCAAAATCATACAATTATATATTTTTAAATTTAATATATACACTTTCAATAATGCTATATGTATTTTTACAAAATTCGTTCTCATCAAATTTCGATTTAAAGCTTTCGTGACTGCAGGGATTCATCTTCTTGGTTCTTTCGGTAAAGTCACGTAGAAGGGAAATAATAAAATAATAATTATAAAACATAATAAAATAATTATCACGACGTTTCGGCCACAACGCAAGCAGCCGTCCTCGTTCCCATCAGTCTATTAGCGTCATTTCACTGCTACTCTCTCCCTCAGTTGAGCTGCTTCCAGTGCAGCTCATATAAATTAGAGCTTTTATACAATCGGATTTTCCACCTGTGCCGTCTCCGGGTGAAAAATCTACCCTGAGGCCTTCAGAATGTCGAGTGAATCCCCTCTGCTGTTGAAGCAAATGGGGACGATGTTGTTGATTGTCATATTCTCTAACCAATCAGATGTCGAGTTTGCCACGTTGGGCGTATTCTTTGACACGCCGGAGCCTTCTGGCTGGCCTCGCCACGTTAGCCTTGTTCGTGTGGCGTGATCAGAGGGCCAGTTAGCTAACTGAAGTAAAACTGGCCAGCACGTAATGTGGCATCATCTAAGATTTATTTAAACTTTCTTCCGTGACGTTTAGATTTTTAGATATACTTGAGATTTGTTTCTGTGGTGAAGCCTGTTGAATCCTGATTGTGTTATTTGTGTTTTACGGCATTTCTGCTTGCTTGGTGGTCATAAGAGTAAATGTGACTTGTTGTGAGTTTGTTCTGGTTTGTGATATCTATTTGTGATGCAGCATCCTGTCATACTGCGTAATAGTGGTACATCCTTGATGGTTTCAGTCACCATGTTTTCACGTCTCTGCAATTAGTGTATTTTAATTGTCATAGGTGTTGAGCCTCGTGTTAAATCACTTTACTACACTCGACAAAGGTCACTGTGAATATGGGGTGGTTACGTCGAATGACAATAGCCTAGAGCCCTAGTGTCATGGTGAGGTTATTTGAAGGCGATTTAATTGCAGGAGAATAGCACTGAAGGCATCGGTGTAAAATACACGGCCCTCCATTGCTCACAAGGTACACCTAGCCTGGCACAAGCGCTGTAGTGGCATCACCGCCTCTTGGTGGAGAACGGCCGTTATTGTTGTTGAGATAACGCCACGATGGCGTTATCTCACCCGCCCGTCTCCAATCAGCGCACGGCACCAGCACGTCCACGTGTCTCAGTGTAAGAGCTCGAGCAAGCTTGGCAGTGCCAAGGTTGGCGAGTTCAAATCCCGGTCAGGGAGTTTGTATCCAGCCCATCTTAACACCGGGGGGTCGATAAAATTGGCAAGTCAACGGTGGTTGTACTGCAGATAGACCCCCCCCCCCCCCCACCGTGAATATGGAAATTCCACCACTGGCTTGGCTGTAAAGGGGAGACCGCATCAATATGCATTCGAGTAGGAAATCAGCTTGACCCACAGCACGTGGCGAGACACACTTTGGCCCAAGGGATTTCACAACGCCGTCAAGGAGCGTAGCACAGCAGCGGGAGGGGGGGTATCAGCAGTTCCACTTCGGGCGTATGGCCGTTCAACCCCCTTTATGCATTTATTGATTTGATGTGAGAGCTGCCGTCGTTTTGTGGCTGGAAGAGGGGGGTGGGGAATGGAGCCATTCGAAATGTCCAAGAGGTGGGCAGGAAATTCGTTCCAGAGACTGCCATCTACTGCCCAAGACAGGGAGTGATCCACATTGCTATCCCCCAGTGGACGAATTGTTTGGTTATGCTGCTTTGGTGCTGATTGCTGCGTTGGCAAGCTGTGCGCAAGCACAGCTAACAAAACACTTCCACGCATTTGTCCATAACACTGCTTTAAAATTAAAAATATAATGGCCCTACTTATTAAGCATCATGTATGTGCTATGAGGGCATCATTCATACCCTGTGAAAAAGATCCATTGTCCATCAAATGCCACCTATTGTATGTTTCTTTTCCCGTTTAAGTCAGCGTTATATGAATGAATGTACAGCGACTCTTTTAGGTACGAACATTCGGCTTACGAACTTTCAGAGATACGAACAAGCCTGTCCGTATGTCCAGTCGCCTGTTCGGACCGAGAGTCGTAAGTTCAACCGCCGCGCAATCGATGGCGGTGGTGGCATCTACATGTGCAGAACATGAAGAACCAGTGGCATCTGCATCTGCAGAACGTGAAGAACCAGTGGCATCTCCATGTGCAGAACATGAAGAACCAGTGGCATCTACATCTGCAGAACGTGAAGAACCAGTGGCATCTGCATCTACATGAGATTGTACAATTTTTAAAGCCACCCCCGTGTTTAGTGTCCATGCTGTTCATGTTTGGAATCGACAGGAGTAAAGTTGGACTTACGAACAAATCGACTTACGAACAGACCTCTGGTATCTAACTCGTTCGTAAGTAGAGGAGTCCCTGTATCAGCCAATAACACGATGAGTCGAACCCCATTAGGTACCAATCACTCATCCTGTACACCCACCGCAGTTACCGTCCATGCAGCAGTATCTGCAAATGTGTCTGAGGCACACTGAAGTAGATGTTTCAGACCGTTTGACGTGAATGAGTGGCAACACAAGCTGTCAATGGCAGTAGATATAATTGGCATCTAGACAAAAGGCCCATTTCAACATGACTTTGGTGAAATTCAACGGAATAAAAAATGTCACCCGCACCGATTATGCTCTTTGTGTGTTAGGAAGAAAAAATATATATCTGGGTGATCCGTGACAAGGTTTGCAAATATTCTCCACGCTCCAGTAACAAAGCCACTGCGATTGTCAGAGGATTGCATAGCGTTGGGTTCACGTGAACTTGGAAGGCCACAGCTTTTGTGCAGAAAATGTTGCAAAACCTGTCGTGTATCGGCGCCCGGTTGGTTGAGAAAACAGATTGACTGTGTTCACGACATTTTTTTGCTTTGCTTTTTGTTTAAATAGACATTGAAATATGCATAATCTCAATACCACATGATACTAAATTGTGATATTACTTTTAATATCTTGCAATGCGTTTTGTTCATGTATAAGATATAAAAAAACTTATTTACAAATTTAAATAGGGATGTACAATAGAAATTCAACATAATCTCACAATAGCATTACACTGTATACAGCTAAATGAGTCGTGTACTTATTTATTTTAGTTTTTGATACCAATGCTTGCGGTTACCTTGTTATGATTTGCGAAATACAACCCTTTACTGGCACAACCAAACCACCTTTGACTCATCGCCCATATCCCTGTGCTATGCCGTAAATAACGCAGTCAAAATAGTCGCACCATCGCTCAAAGCAACAAAATGCATTTGACAAGCTGGGGGCTAACGTTAGATCTGTACTGTCAAGCAATAATTTAGTTTACGATGATTTTTTTTGTTTGTTTAACATACTGTAAATTTAACTACAAAGTTAACATTCAAAGGCTAGAATATTGCAATGTACAAGTATACACATCTAAGCATGAACGTGCCTCATTAGGGTTACAGTACAGTACTTCATTCAAAGCGAACAGTGCTTTCTGGGGTCTCCTACATCCTGCACAGCGTTTAAACGTACGACAAAATAATGATACAAAAACCACAGCGCTGCTTTAGAGTTCTATGCGCATTTGCAGAGAACGTTCTGACTTTCTTCTAAGAGCTTTGAACATTCGTTCGCGATCAGTCCACATAGTCCCACGGCTCTCTTCTGTCGAGGAAAGTGGAGCGCCGCGTGTGCCTTGAGCCTTGAGCGGAATGAGGTTAATAATAGTCGCAAGCAAAGAAGCTTCCTCGGAGGGACGGGCGTTCCTCTGGCGATAATTGCGACGGGGGTGGTGGTGGGGGCAATACAAACAAAAAAACGACTACGATGTCAGCGACGATGTCAGCGACGAAATAAAAACTAAACAGTTGTGGAAAAACAACGTTTGCCCCCCCCCCCATCTCTCTCGACGAGTGATTCCCCCCCCCCCCAGCAAGATTTTCTTTCTTCAGCAAAAACGTTCCTTAAATAACGCGGCGGCGAAGGGCGTCCTCCTCGTTGGCCGTTAAAGAGTTCCGCTCGGAGCAAAAGCGCCAACAAGCAGGGAGCGTCGCTCGTTCAGTCGTGAAGCAGACAAGTTGGGGTTGGGAGGGAGGGGTGGTGACGGGACGAGAGGAAGCGCCGCCGGTGTCACACGGCCCCCGCCGGCGTGCGCTCCGTGCGGAGCTCCGTGCGCTGCTGGCGTGCCGCCGGCTTGTCCCGGACGCGCGCCGCCTGGGGCCCCCTCGCGGCGCCTGGCCTCCTGTGCTTGTTCTTCCGCTTCTTGCCACGCCGTCCGTGGCGTGAGTTGTCTGGGGGGTCGGGAGGTGGCCGGGGGGGGGGAGGAAGCGAAAAGGTTGCGAGACGGAGCGGAGCGTGGCGGTTCGGGGCAAGGATTTACTCTTACGAGCTCTTGAGCACCTCCGGTGAAATGTGTCACTTTCACTCACACGATGTTCTTCGCGGTTTAGCTCGGAGGGGTTAACCGTGCCACACACGTGAACGTCTTAGCAAACGAAATAGCAGCAGAGGGTAAAGTCTGATAGGGCACTTACACTTTGGCGGTGTGCCCATGTTCTCTGGTCAGGTCTGACCACGTTTTAAAGCCGACATATGTTTACATAGCCACAGTGCACTCTGTGCAATAAAACAGTGTAAGAAACTTAAACAGAGATGCATACACGAACATGGAAACGTGCAATGTTACGGTGAAATGGAGCAATCTGGAAAGTGTTAGCTCCAAATTGTTTGCTGGGGTGGGTATGTGTAGTATTGCACGACTCAATATCAGCAGATGTCTTTAAAGTATGGCCTTTTTTCATCAAGAATTCTTCCAGACGATGCTTAAGTTTGAGTACCGATTTGTGCAGTTTTTGCAGAGCGAAAATGTGGTGCTCCCAGTTTCTATTCAGATTTAGAATTGGTAATTCATTGCACTGTGTGATGGCACTAGCATAAATTATTGGTCCAGAATTACGAAACAAATATTTGCCATACATATACTCATGACGTAGTCGGCGTTGCCGGCTTTCAATCAACGTGTCAGACACCACGTGAGGTATATTACTTGGTTAACAGATGATGGGGATCGTGTATTTTTAAGTGTTTAGCACGGGACTTAAAGTAACATGACATTTAAGCTGGTGCTACCCTGTGAGTGATATTAATTTAACCTCTGGATCATAATTCTCTCTGGGCCCAAAGTATAATTCCCCCCATCCCCTTGGATATAAGCCGATATAGTTTTGCCAAATTTCATCTTTCTAGCCTTTCTGCACCATCATGATAAGTCACAGCAATCACTTAAGCCAGACATTGCATCATTGTGTACATGATGCATACATGTACTTGATTTATAATTAAAATAATCCGGATGTACAATGTTTTGGAGTTCATTCCTCTACCATGCAGGAACAATAAATCGTGTAGAAAAGTTGTTTTGATTAAAGTATACACACAGGCCTGACCCACGCACCAGAGTAATAGACCTGGGTCCAGCAATACGAGAGGAATGTGGGAAAGAAAAATATGTTGGATTTTAAGGATTTTCTCTGCCACCAAAGCTCATAACCCTCAACAAAAGAGATTAAGTATAATCACATACTCTTTAGGCATTATTAACTTAGCCAAGATAACTTGTACATATAGAATACAAGCCTTTTTACTGCTTTGGAAGAGGTAATGTTCTGTGCTTCGAATATATACAGGACATTTTTGGTAGCTCTGTTCAGTTATTCCTAGGGATAATATATTGGCGCGGGTAAGAGTTGAAAAATAGCAGACTGAAATTTCTCAGAATTCACGAAGCAATGTTTTTGCATTCGGATTATAAACCACAGTTAATTTGAAAACATTTATTTTTCTATGTTCAATGGAATTTGATATTTGCCAAAGTGCCTTAAGCAGGCTTTGTCATTTTAGTGCCCTCCTTCAAATGGGCTACACAGCTGTAATCATAACAAAACGAACTTCCTCATTGTGTAACCAGCCTGCTATACTTCGGGATGCTGCTGCTCAAGTGGTGAAATGCTTAGCATGGTTGACTCGCAATGTAGAGGCCCCCTATTTGCTGAAATTCCTCCTGTCCACCCAGCGACATGAGTACTCCAATAACAAAGGTTTTTTGGGTTAGATCTGGTAAATATAAATGCGTCGTTAAACCCGCCACCACCTGACACAGCTAATTAGTAAGGGTTTTCACGTCAACAAAACCCGTTATTATGGATAAAATTGGTCGCAAAATCCGACGTGTTAAACTGACTACTGCACGGTTAGACAATGGGAAGGTCAGGTATGGGGTTAGGTACATTGTGCTTATTCCCACCTCTTCCAAGACGTATGACCCGCGAGGAAGAGTAGGCCAAATTACACTCCAGAGGAGCACTCTAGAGAGCTGCACTCCTCTAGTGGAGGCCCGTTAGTCAGCAGCGGCGCGAGTGAGCACTTGCAGGGCTGCCCCTTAACCTTTTATGATTCAGGATTGATAGGACTACGAGGCTGGAGTCCCATGGAGCTCCGTTACAACTCAAATTGCACTGAAGCCCTATCGCACCCTCTCGTAGGACAGCGGAAGAATCGCACGATGCGCTGCGTGAAACGCGAGTCATCACTTTATAAGAATAGGTTTCACCATTTCTGGTAAAACCTTTTCTTATATTTTGATACTGGCAAGGGAGGTCCCATGATGCGAGTCATCACATCGTCTTTGGGTGCCCAATCCAACTCCACACACACACACACTTCACCTCGACACACCACATATCCACACTCGCACGCCGATCGTCGCGAATGTCGCAATTGTGCACGTGAGTGGGGCCCCCCTTTGCCGATCGACTGCCGGATGTGGGCCTCTCACAAGGCCGTGTGCGCCTCGCCACGGTTGTTTGACCATGTTTCTTCCACCCTGGTCAGGGTTAGGCCTGGTGAAGGTGAGGAAACATAGACGCCGGAGCATAGAGGTACAGCACAACAATGGGCTTTGTCGCACCTTCCTCTGCTGCCCACCACGCCGCTACGACTCGTCTGACGCTTGGTGGCCACACGTTCACGCACTACCAAACCTGGTGCCTGCTTGGCTTCTGGGGGGATTCGGTCCAAGGAAGCCACCATTACTCGAAGCTTGTGCAAGGAGAAGTATCAATGCCCTTTATTCATCCTGGAAAACCTCACTTTTCCCGGGTGATTCTGTGCAATTGGCACGTTTGGCCGATTGCTATCACGAGTATTTGGCTTCATGTGGGTGAAGCCCAACGACCATGTGGAAAAAACCCAGAGCGCGGTAACACTCAAAGCTCCGCACAGATAGATACAAGAATCTGCTGTTGCACTGCCATAACCTGACCACCTCATAGTGACATTCAAAATAAAATCTTTCCGAATAGAGTTGCTGAAAAATACATTATTTGAGTATAGTTTTACCAATTTTGCTGGAGGCAGCCTTGTGTCGTAGTACAGTACAACACCGTACATTTAGACCATCACACAATTGCCCTCACCAATCAACCACCCTCACCCAGTGCAGAATTTGCTCGTGGGGCAATGATTATTGTCTCTTGACAATTTTTCGGAAACAGCAATGTATGGTTAATCTTGCATGTTATTCGCTGACTTTTCATGTCCCGGCAAAGCATTTCCCCGCATTTCAAAACGATTTGTGATTTATTTTTGTACCGTAACCTACTTGGCGCAGAGTCTTACCCGTCGTGATGCGCACTAGGTGCTGTACATTATTTACACAGTTGACCTTTTTGCATATCCGCCAACACCTCAAGTCCGCTGGTGGGGGGGGGCGTCATACGTGCGACAACGCATGCCCCTTTATCACGTACCTGAACAAATGCCCCATTTCTTATTGGTCCGACCCCCCCCCCCCCCCCCCCCAACGCGTACTCTTTCGACTCACCGTCGTCAGGGCAGGTCCGATGCTGCGAACGACACTTGCGCACTTCCCGGAGTGGGGGGCAGAGCCCCCCGCCACTGCTGGGGTAGCGGACGACCTGCCGCGCGTGCCACTGGCGCCCCCACTTGAACCCGCACTGCCGTCCGTTCTTCGTGCACTGGGACCACTCCCCCCACATGGAGACCTCGCAATGCACTGTGTGGAACAGAGGACAGCCATTGCCACGTGTTTGCCGTGCACCGAAACCCTCTCGCGTTCCGATAAGACCGTAGGTTGCAGGGTGGGGTGTCCGCATCCACCAATGTTTTTAAAGTCATTTTACTCACCGCAAATAACTGTAGTGACACAACCGCACTCTATGATAGCTGGTGCCAAACTGTGCCACACACACACGTGTGTGGCACAGTTTAGTTTTTCTTCCGGTTCCGTTCCGATGACGTACACGTCCGTCATCGGAACGGGAAAGGGTTAGTAACAATAACAACAGCAATGCACTTTTTATTTATCTGGGAAAGCCTGACAATATTCTCAAGACTCTTCTCAGGAGAGTCCTGGAATTGGTATGTTTGACCAATTCTAGAGCCTATCTTAAGCAAATGTTAACATTTACCCATAGGACCCTGTCGTGTTTTCGTGTAAGTAAACGGCCCAGTGTGTTACACGGCACAGAGCAATAGTAACAAAGTTGAAAACAAATCGGTAGTTTCCGCTCTTATTCTATGACTGACCCTTTGCACATTTGACAATGTCCAAGGCTAGTATATTGCTGGTCATTTTAGTTGTTATGACCCAAAAATAGGCCTTGGAAAATTCTGTTCATGGGTGGTTGTGTGAAAGGAACCCAAAGTACTGGAGAAAATCCACCGAGCAAGTGAGGGGAGAAACATTCAAAGCTCTGCACAGATAGATTTAATAAATAACTGCTGTACTGACATCCCTAGCCTGGACATATATAATCTTATCTGTGAGACGTTAATTCCCCAAACAATACAATTAAAGTTTAAATAGCACCCCAATGCAACCATATCGGAAGGCACATAACTTTTAATCAAATATATTGTACTTATTCAAACAGGAACGTTGTTTGAAAAAACAGCCACTTATGTTTGGGGTGAGCGAGTATTTTTTACCGCTTAATTTTAGTATTGATGACGATGGCTTTAGAATTAACTGCTTGGCACCCACTTACAGAGTTCCGATGGCAAAGCTGCACTCGGGAATTGTCGTCCTTCTTGGACGCCCAACGTCCCATCGTCACGTGGCGAGTGGCTGCTCAGATGTTTCTCTCTCTGTGCGATTCTATTCTGTGCCCCTTCCCTCATTCACATCCACTGTCCTCGTCATCATACTCCAGCGCATCCTCCCATCCCATCCTTGAATGCCCCTCTCTACCCCTTCTACCCTGAACTGACGTTCAATCTACGTCGCCCTTGTATGGGAATATCCTCCGGCGTAACTCGCCGATCGGCACGCACTGCACGGTGTGTGGGTAGCTGGCACGTGACTCACCAATCGGTGTGTGGGTAACTGGCGCGTGACTCACCGATTGGCACGCACTCCATTGTGTGGTTGGTGGGGGAGAAGCCGTCTGGACACGACTCGTAGCAGTTCCCCTTGTAGAGGTACGAGCCGGGGAGGCAACGCGTGCAGAAGTTCTTGCTGAAGCACGTGTCGCAGCGCTCGATCTTGCATTCTGGGATCAGAAGGCGGCGAGAAGATCGTTCGCAGCCGAGTTACTTTCCCACAAATTAAGGAGTTTTTATTTGCCAATAAAAGAGCAAATGGGAAAATGTTTTGTGAGTGAATTCAAATTATATTTTTAAAAGATCATTATATATCTAGAAATCGTCACTGAGCATTCGAAAGCTTTTAACATTTTTTTGTATTAAGGTGCCAGTTGCTGATGATAATGGTATTGATAGTGTTGATGCGATGCTGAAGATGATGGTCATACCAATAATGATGCTGCTGATCATGGTAGTTCTGCTGCTCACGTTCATAATAACAGCGACATTGATGATGATGATGTGTTCCGGTAGGGGTGGACCGACTTGCACACTCCTTCACGTGGGTGACACATGATGCTGCTGAAACTCTTGCTGATGGTCATGATGATGATGACGATTATGATGGGAGTGGTGGTACTAATCATCATATTGCTGTGTGTTGATGATTATGTTATTTATAATGCTGATAATCTTGCTGCTGCCTATGACAATTGCAATCACAATGATTATCCAATTTCTCAATACGGTTGCGAGCTGAAACGATAACAATTGGCGCGAGAGACGCTTGCGAGGGCGGGACAATTTAATTTGTCGCGGCCGTGTTCCGATGGTGGAGGCTTTCCCGACAAAATATTTGGCCAAATCACGACACCGCCTCGCCCAAAAATCTATGAAGGATTGATGCCGACTGTGATTAAGGTGCTGGCGGTAATGCTGCTGTCGCTGCCCATACACATCACGACACGTTAGTCTCGTCTTGGAGTTTGTTGTCCTTCCCCGCACACCTCCGATTAGCACGGTCGGCTACGCACGATGCGAGAGAAGCGTCGACATTGACGACGATATCGCGAGGCTTTGGCGGACCTACTTGCACACTTGTTCATGTGCGTGGCGCGCAGGCCGTAGTATCCCGAGGGGCACATGTGCAGGCAGGCTCCCAGCTGCCGCATGCCGGCCCGCTGCAGGTGGAAGAAGAAGCGAGGCATGCAGCTGAGGCAGCCGTTGGCATCCGAGCACCCGGAGCATCCGCGCGGGCACAGCGCACTGCTCGCACCCACTGCCAGCCGGGGGGGGGGGTGAGACACAGGGGGGGGGGGGGGGGGGGGAGACACAGAGGGGGGTCATTGTGAGAGTGAGGAGGGAGTATCGGGAGGATCGAGCACGGAGGTATCGTGAGAGGTGGCACAAGGAGCCCAGAGGGACGGGCACGAGCGAGCGAGGAGAGGAGGGGAGTGGTGGGAGGAGATGATGGTGAGGATGATGAGAGTGGTGGGAGGAGATGATGGTAAGGATGGTGAGGATGGTGAGAGTGGTGGTAGGAGGTGAGGATGGTGAGGATGATGAGAGTGGTGGGAGGAGGTGAGGATGGTGAGGATGATGAGAGTGGTGGGAGGAGATGATGGTGAGGGTGGTGAGGATGGTGAGAGCGGTGGGAGGAGGTGAGGATGGTGAGGATGGTGAGAGTGGTGGGAGGTGATGATGGTGAGGGTGGTGAGAGTGGTGGGAGGAGATGATGGTAAGGATGGTGAGGATGCTGAGAGTGGTGGGAGGAGATGATGGTGAGGATGGTGAGGATGGTGAGAGTGGTGGGAGGAGATGATGGTGAGGATGGTGAGAGTGGTGGGAGGAGGAGGAGAGAGAGAAGAATAAGGACGGGACGGGATGGGAGAAGGGGAAAACGAAGGTTAGCAGAGGGAGTGAAGATGTGAAGATGAGGGATTTACCAAATAGAAAGGAGAAAATATTCCATATTTCATGGAGCACAACAGGTTAGGATTGCATTTGCAGAGGAATAATGAAGTTGCAGATTGGGGGCAGAGCCATGCTCTATCCACTGCTGGATTAAGGCTTCCCCAAGTTGTCGCCATCCTTTACAATTCTTAGGATGCAACAATCCGTGCAGCTCCTGCACTTGACGCTGATCTCAACCCTCCATCTCGGTGGCGGTCGCCCTCTCTGATCCCATCCCTCCTGCGGCTGCCACTCCGTCACCAGTCTTGACCATCGGTCAGCATCCCGTACAGTCAGAGGTTGTCTGCCTAAGCCCACGACGTCTGCGAGTGGCGTCTCCTCTCGGAGCCACGCACAACTCTCTTTCTCTCTCGGAGTCATTTCGAGCATGCGGCAATGCCACATTTCTCTGTGCGCCCAATCTCCCCTTACTGCGTTCTCTTCGTCAATGTCCGTGTTTCCGACACATCTGGAAGCTGACAAAGAAAACTGACAAAAATAGCAGCGTATAAATAGTTTTCTCGAGCCTAATTCAATTGTACCGAATTTAATTTATTAGTATTCATTCCGACTTGCATTCCAATCCACATGGGACTTGCAGTCGGCTTTGAAATCACTTGGGCTGCTTGGATAGGCTTAAATTGGGCATCTGCGTCAGCTGTAAGTTGAGCTTTTGCATTTCCCCCATACATCATCTTCTATTATATCCAGCAGACTGTAAGGCTCAACTGTTAAACTATTCCTACAGCCGGCTGCGATGTTGTGCATTGCCTGGGGTCCAGTGGCAGGGAGACGTCTGTGCGTAATGGAACGCACCTGGCTAGTGTGAGCTTTACTCCAGGAGTGAGACGCACTCGAAGGTGGCGACTTCCCGAATGGACGCCATGCACTCGCCGGAGTACACACCTAAGTGCAGCATTCCACGTGTACGTACAGTCGACTCGAATCGCCCTCTTGTCAATCCACTGCTGGATGCGGTCCTACCCACACCGCGCGGGTGGTGGGGGTTGTTTGCTCATACTTCACCACGCCAGGCAGGGCAATTTGGGGACCATAGGAGTATAGCACAACCAGTAGTGCTGCTGCACTGCCCCCTGTTGACCAACACTGAGCTCCGCTGCCCGACGGCAACTCGTGTTTCGCACGTGATCGCCCATCCAAGGGGTGTCCAGGCTCAACCCCGCTTAGCTTGCGAGATTTCATTAGACTGTGCGCATTCGGGGTGATTTGGTCCGGGGCGCATTGTTTAAGCCCCACAGCGATGAACTCGTTGCACGTTCAAGTGTTGTCGCGGGCATGGCATTAAACTGCATCCAATGGAAGTGCCCTCGAAAGGAACGCCGGTGAGAGAGCCAAGGGAAACCATCTCAACTGGCCCTAGCTACGGCTCAAAACCCCAAGTAAACAGCAACGAAATAATTGAGCAGGCAATAAGCCTCCTTCTCCATATCTCTTCCTGCGCATAACAAAATAAAGGTATGTATTACACATTCCATCAGCCACGCCACGGCCTTCTGCGAATACATCATTTCAGCAGCATTTGGTTCAACCCAAGCAAACTCTGGAGCGGTTCCGACATTCACTGTCTCATCGGTAGTCAGGCTCGCTTGAATCAACGCTGGCGAGCTGACGAACGTTCATGGCAAGGTCCCACTCCGTTAGATATGAGTCCCATTTGACCTTTGTCGAGTAATGCGGGAGCATGGTGTTGTGAGAGGCTGAGTGGGGAGCAGGTTCAGACTGGATGACGGCCGCTTGAGCCATGGGCCTGCACTTGGTCAGAGAACTCGCGGGACGGGACGTTCAATGTGGTGGTATCGACAGAGATGCATGTTGATGTACAATTACTCTGATTCAGTTGTACTGTATAACTACTGCGACGTATAATTACTCTGAGACGTTGTGACAAGAGCAGCCATAAAGGTTGTTCTTGTTTATTATAAACTAAACTACAATTTGTATTTTACCAGGTAAGGCCCACTAAAGCCATATGGATCTTTTTCAGAAGCGACTTGGCCACAAATGATAGCTCAACGAAGTGGCTCACCACGTGGACATTTCTAGCAGCCAAATACGCTAAATGGACGTTTGTAAATGTGGAGGGGAAAACCATCGGACCTGGAGAAAAATCCACGTGACCACAAGGAGAACATGTAAACTCCAAATATACAGGCATCAGGGTCAGGATCAAACCCACAACCTCCTGCATACAAGGCGAGGCAATTAACATCCCATCACCGCTGCAGTGCCGATTCTATCAAAAGGCGGAGGAGGGTCAATGTGAAATGTAACTCTGCATTTAAAAAAAACCATTGTACGACATTATAGCTGGCAAGATTGTACATATTGAAAAACTGTTTTAAATATACACGAGGGATTTCACTGGCACAAATTCACCACATTCATCATTAACATAATAACGCGGGTTTCAGTTATAAAGCAGTGTTAATTACACACTCGATAATTCTAGTTTTTGTGTTTGGCAAGAAACGTTGTATGAGTATGTATTGTCACTTGTCTATATAGAGAAATACAGGTTTTACTCTTAAGGTGTTTTGGGAATTAATTAATATGGAGACTTTATTGCTACATGATAATGAATAATAAAACTTTAGATCCCTTTGTCCATCTACTGCTGGATGAAGGCCTCATCATGTCATGTCAGTCGTGGGGTTTGAATGACCATACTTCACCACACTGTGCAGTGTGAGTTGGTGAAGGGGTGGCCAAGATTGGTTCAGACATCACGCATCACTGATGTTAGCCGTGGCCACATAAATGGAACTCATGTCACCAGGTCCAGAGCACAGTGTGCTCACCATTGTGCCACTACTCCACCCAGGTAAAAAATAGAAACGGGCTACAAAAAGAAAATCTGAAAATTCATTAAGACTGCAGGAGTCCGATGAGCTATAAAGCTCTTTCACAGATGTCCAGTAGGTACGTGTACATGTACACCGCCTTTTTTTCAACCCACTTGCGGGTGAGAGCCTCTCTGCCGGGGTTATTTGACCATACTTCACCGCGCCGGTCAGTGCGAATTGCCGAAGGCGCCTTACGTAGACGTGGCGGAGCGTCGCGGTTCGAGCAACAGATGTTGCGACGCTGCCCTCTGCTGCCCACATCGGGATCCCCGCAGCCGCCGGTGGCGAGCTTCCCTGTGCATGGTGGTCACCCGTCCAACCACTATCCGGGCTCAACCCTGACTAGCTTAGATCATGGGTATGTATGCGTGTACATTGCACTATTCATGCCTGATCTCTTAGCTTCTCTCTGCAACCATTGCTCAAGGGAAATGAATCCGCGAGAAACGTTTGCCCAATCATTAATGTCATTTTCGTTAAAAGTTTCTTGCAGCGCTCGTAATTTCTGCTGTGCCTGCATTTCATCACCAATAATAAAAGCAACACGTCTGTGTGTGTGTTACAATTGCGTTTGATAGTTATGCATCTGGGTTATCCCTTGGCTTCGATAGATGAGAGTGTTCAAGCTGTTGTTGGCTTGAATTGTGCTTTGTTTATATTTTTTCTCACACACGAGAGACGAGTCTGACCCTCGACTCACAAACACGTTTACGCTTCTCTCAAGTGCTATGGTCGCCGGGAGGGGAGGATATACAGCACCACCAGCCTCACGCCACCTTCTCTCCTGCTGAGAGAGACCTCACGCACCACAGCATTGTGGCACACGTCTCTCCGTATTGGGCTCTGTCCAGAGGTCGCCTTTTACACACGCACGCACGCACGGATCCACACTGTCGGGAAAGAACATACTTTTCACCAAACAACACGCACAGGCCAAGTCTGTACCGGCAAGAATGTTTTGGGGGTCTTGGGTCTATAAAGGTGCGTGTTATGGATGACGCCTGTCAGAGTGCAAGCCGTGTGCGATGGCGTGATTAATGGCCGGTGGAAGGCTGAGGCTACTTGGGATCAGCTGAAGTTTCAGTGGGAAAGCGCCGCTTGCGTGAGCGACACGTGACACCGATCGACTAAGCTGAGGTTACGACGGACGGCCGTGCATTTTAAAGCGAACCCACGCATTCCGTGTCGGCATATCCCATGGTATGCAGCCTCCCCGCACGTGTCCAATGTCATGTGCGTGTGTACATACATCTGTGCGTGTGCGTACGTCTTGTATTTGTATGGGTGGCACAGCGGTCATCGCAGCGCAAGTACGAACCCGGCAACTTGACTTCGATGCCCAGCCGTGGCGAACGGCAGTGGCAAGGGGCACCATCAGAACTTTTCCTGGGCCTCCCCTAGGTTGACCCAGCCTTAAATTGGGACCTGATGTGGTCTGTAAAGCGTCAGCACTGGGCAGACA